TTTCAGTGGGCTCATGAATCCACGCTCATTTGTGGAAGCATCTTTGCTGCTCTACAGCTAGGAGCCAGGTCTCCAGTCTGTGCACATGCCACGGTCCCCTGAGATGGGCCACCATCAGTACCCAGTTGTGGAGCAATTGGTCAGATTTTCCCCATAACGGGGCTGACATTTCGCTGTTCGGGCAGCAAGCGGACAGTGCTGCTGTGCAACTGCCCACCTCGCAGCGCTCCCTCGCCTCTAAGCGGGATAATGGGTCTGGAGGGCAGCTTTCAAGTGGGCTTCTCCCTCAAGTGGGGGTCCCAGCAATAAGGCTTATTGGGAGAAGACACATTTTAGGACGTGCATTGGCTGCAGACGAGGGGGATGATTCATCCCCGCCTGTCTGCAAGATGAGGTAGGTTCATCAAGCTCTCCGCAGAGCCACACAGCGCATTAGCAGCAGACTTGTGTCTAATAATAATACTCTGTCAGCAATTAAAAATATAACTCCATTTAAGGGTGAGATACACAGCTTGGGGTAAAGACTGTAGGATGTAAAAAATGACACCAGCGGGTATTTTAAGACAAAGCAGCTGAAGGTACAAGCTGGCTGCATGGCACGGCTTGCTCCCCCACACTGGGCGGCAGCTTCCACCCCCTTGGAGAGCCAGAGCAAAGCCCCCGATCTCGCTGCCTCTCAAGAGGTTTTGCTGTTCTCAGGAGCAGCAGCTGCCAAATCACTGCGGAGGTTTGCCCCACCTTTGGTTTGGGGCCAAACGGGCAGGTTTTGGGGCTGGGAGGCTGGGAGTGCAGGCAGGCTGGGATTTGCAGCATGGGGCAGAGTTCCCGGTGTCCCACAGAGCCCAGGTATCCCACCCTGCACTCAGGTCTCAGGGACAGCCATCAGTACTTGGGAGTGTGTGGGGAAGGCCCCCATGTTGCTTTGGGAGCTCATGAGGTTACTAGGGATGCTCTGGAGCAGGTTCAGTAGCAAATGAAGCAAAACAAAACCCAGTTATCATTTCCACGTCTTTGAGCTTCTTGTTGGCCATCACCTAGACCTGTATGAGCTCACCTGAGGAAAGGCAGGGAGGGTTTTATCTGATAAAACAGATGAGAGAGAGATAACTGACAGATAATACCGCCTGTGCCAGAACCTCCTTGGAAAACTGAAGAGCTAATGAAAGAGGAATATACTTAGAGACAAAAAAAGGACTTGCGCATAGCCCAAGTCTAGTCCAGGCTCCCAGCCAACCTAACTTCAGTGTGACAGCTGAGATGGTGTCTAAGAAAGTGAAAAACAATTCTGACCAGAATTGTCAGCAAAGGGTCTCTAAAAAAGTCAGAGGAAGGTCTCTAAGTTAAACTGCCTGAATATGGCCTGGTTCTTTCCCCTGCCACAAGCAACCTTCACTTTCCCTATAAAGCTTTTACCATATTCGGCTGTATCAGCCAGTTGCTAAGACGTTCATGCAAAAAAAAAAACATATTCCCTAGCTGGGATGGACAGGTGATGTACAATGCAGCAGGCATGTTTATATACTGTATTGAGACTGTGTCTGTGTATATTCTGTGTATAGAGGCTGTGTCAGTATATATTCTCTGTCTCAGCATAATGCCTCGCTATACCGACTACCGATTTTCAGTGACTGTATACACTGCTATTATTAACAACAAGCCGACGGCCGTGGCAGGCCAGGTAGCACAGCCCACGCAGTCTGTTGGAGGGGATCAGCAGCCCCCGCTGCCAACACCACCTGTAGCAACCACAGCTCCTTAACACCTTTGTGCTGCTGCTGCAGACACGGCAGTAGAAAATAGAGCAGCTCCATCCCATTCGCGCGCCGTAACTATTTTTGCAAGCGCCGGCAGCATGCACTGTCCTTCAGGTTACATCTGCTTGCTTGCTTAAAAAAGGGGGTGTGGGGGGGGCAAATTCAACCAGGGGAGGGAACCAGGGATTTCCAGCGAGTCTGGCATGACCCTTGGTCCAGCAGTGCCAAGAAAAACAGAAGGACTCATGAAAATACATAAATGAAGCCCAATCTAAAGCATTTACAGAGCTAAGAAGTGGTCAATGAGCAGTAAGTAGTGTGTTGCTGGTAATTTTGCAGCTTCTTTGTAGACTTGGCAACATGCTGTGTTTTATAAGTGGCTCAATGGCAGAAAATGGCTCAGTTTCTGCTGGCCACTGGAGCGCGCCCGCTGTTTGCATCCTATGGTGAGGAGTGAGGGGTCCCAGGCAGGGCCACAGCCGGGTCCACCTGCAGATAGAGGGAACACCAGTGCTGGAGTAGTCCTGGCACTGGCATTTGGTATCTTCTTATTCTGGGAAATGCGAATTTCAAGCTCATCACCAGCGTAAACCGGTGCAAGCTTGATTTTGGGAGCAGGTAATACCAACACCACTGAAAGCTTTGCTGTGGTTTCCTTTGAGCTAGCAGGATGGATCACTGCATGGAGAAAGGTCAGCAGGACCCTTTGCTGGCCTAATCCAGCTATTCCTGTTTTCCTCGGTTTCTTCTTTTTCTCCTAACGCATCTTATTTGTGATCAATTGAAATTTAATTTCAAAGCAACTCTGAACACTGACAAACTCAGCAATCCAAATGCCATAACAAAGCAGTTCTCTCATGACAACATTACTACCTTGTGTAATCCACCTTTCTGAAGCACGGATTTTATCCTCAGGTCTCTCCCTGCAGGCAAGGATGGACTTTACTCGCAGCATGGGACCAGCTAAGAGCTCTCTATCCCCCTGCTTTTGTAAACAGGACCGAGCCATGTAAATGGCAGGAAGCCACCTGGGAGCACTTTCATTTCCATCCCTGCCCATAATTATTTTCATCTCTGCTCCCAGTTTTCAGCTTGCTGGCAGCCACAGCTCACTCACAGAGACAGAAGGGAATACAGATCTTGGAAGACAAAACCAAAACATCCAGAACTGCAAAATGTAAATCAAAAGCAAGGGCCACACATACTCTCCAGGCTTGTAATAGCCCCTCCTCATGTAGTTTGCATCATCTCATCACTGTTGATATTTAGAAGATCTTCAAAACGTTGCAAGCACCTTTCCAGGAACAACACGGAATAAGTACCTCCAGACCCAGAACCAACATTTATTCTGGGAAAGTTCCTCTCTCAAACACATTTTGGCTTCAGAGAGCAGCAAGTCACTTGTTCAGAGCCTTTCCTTTCCAGGCCCAGTGCCACGTCTGTCCCCTCCCGGCCACAGACTCGGGCTGCTCCCCTGAACACTGCTGGCACTGGCTTTGCCTCTCCCTCCTGCCCTCTCACCAGACTGATGGGACATCCCTGCGTTGTCTATAAGGCAGGGACATTCAAAGAAGAGCCTGTCTTAATCCCATGAGAGTGCAGCAGGAGGTCGAGGTCTTTGAAAACCATTCCTATTCCCATCACACAGCTTAGAAAGTATTAAAAAGCTAATGGACATCGCTGCAGCATCAGGGATGAAAATCTGTTGCACACTGGCTTTGGCTTACATTAGTAGTTTATATGTGCAAGAAATCATAGAATTAAAGACAAAGCCCCTGAGTACTAAACTATCAATGTGTACCGCAGGCCAGGATCCCAGATTTCATACCATGTGCCAACGTGCCTCCAACCCCAGACCCTGCTGGGGTGCAGTGATGGTCTTGCTGGGGGACTGTGGACAGGGGAAAAAAAGAAAACCGCAACCAAGCCAAACAAGCCAGCAAAAAAACCTGCCCTGGCTTGTTTTTTTCCGCCTCAGAGACACATACTTCTCCCAGGCAAAAGCTTTTAGGGATAGCATTCCCAAATCACTCGAAGATGCCTGCCCATCCTTTCCTATTGGTTGCTATGGTGAAAGATGACGGAGCACCAGACGGGTATAATACGAGGCAGCGTGCGGGGAAGGAATTTAGCAGAGGCAGGAGGGAGGCGAGCGGTGGGAAGAGGGGAAGGCACTGCCCGCCCGTGGCCACGCTGCTCACCAGCACCGACGGGCCGCTGCGGACCTGCCCAGGGAGGTAAGCGGCTGCCCATGGCTCTGGGAGGGCTCAGTGATGGGCGCGTGTGCTGTTCTGCTCTTCATGTAAGAATGGTTAAAACAGTTGTTAAGATGAGCTGCTGCTTGAGTGAATTAAAGGAAAGTTAGTTATATTAAAAGAGAAAGGAAGAAGGAAAAAAAGAAACTAGGTCTATCGCATGCAGCTTCTGCTCAGAGCACTCGGCTGGTTGGGAGAGATAACCCTGCAACGAGGCTCAGAGAGCAATTTGGGGATCTAAGGAGTGATGTACTGAAGTGATTTGTGGCTATTGTTAAACAGTAGTTTGTTAGCGGTCAGTGTCTTTTATCTGGGGGAGAGCTTTATACTTATTATTCATATATTTGTACTTTCCTAAAGGCATTGATTTTATATTTCACCAGCCTTCGGATTTCACATTTAAGATCCTGATATTACAGTGTGAGATGCTGTCGGAACAGGAGGAGTTTATACTCTATTAAGCAACAAGTTAGGTACAGAAAATGCAGCAACAACTTAAACTAGTAAATTAATCATTATACAGCTTTTTAAATAGCATTTGAAAAGCTGTGTAAAATCAAAATATCTATTGGAAGCTCTGCAAGGCAAGCTGGAGCTAGCTTAATGATCAGTTTATGCTAATCACACTTGCAGTATCCTTTCTATTCCATGGGAAACAAAAAAGCTAAAAAAGCTTCCTACATAGAAAACCAGTCAAAAAGAAGAGATTTTTAAAAAATCTAACTAGAGCATAAAGTGCAGCCTATGTCCCAGTTGGTTTTTTTGGTCATGAAGCAGGGTGATACAGTAGTCTGGTCACTAGCAGGATTCATCTTCTGTAATTATAGTCATCTAAGACCCAGCATCTAATCTAAGCTAGCCAGGCATAGTCCTGAGTCCAGTCTAAGGGCCAGTAAAGCCAGTGGAAAGACTTCACTGATGTCAGTGGCCTTTGAGCCTGTACACGAATTGGGAAACTCAGCCTCTCCCTGCATCTGGTTACAGGGGCACGATGAACATTGAAGTGCACAACATCACTTACACCAGTGCCACCGTCTCCTGGGCCATGAACAACCCCTGTCCAGAGAACTACTACCATGTCATGTACCGCCCCAACTGGAACAGCATCTTTGCCGGCTATTTACGCCAAAACTTCCACCGCGAGGAGCGAGTTCCTCACCCTCTCAGCTCCCTCATCCTCCACCAACTCACGCCATCCACCATCTATGTCCTCTGCATCACGTGCAAGAACTCTTACCCCTCCAGCAACCAGTGCACCACGTTCCACACTCTGGACAAAACACCCCTGGTTTTCGGCGGCTCTAAACACGAACCTACCACCTCCATGTGGATGGTGAGCAGCCTGCTGCTCCTCTGCTTCACTGCTCTCCTGGCCTATGGCTGCCTGCAGTTCTGGTCTGCACGGTGCCACCGGGCTGCGAGGCTGAAGCATCCCGATGCCAGCCCCGAAGAAGTGGGCGAAGGCAGCAGCTCGCCAGAGGGTCCACTGAACGACGGACTGAGAGATGAGCTTCTGGAAGTCCCCATGACCACTGTGCTAATGAGGAGCTCCAGTTTCATGAGGGAGAGTCCGTACAGCTCCCCCCACTGCTTTTTTTCCTATAAAAACAGCGACGATAAAAGGGCCATCTTGCCGCAGCACGGCCTTCAATGAGCAAAATAGAGGGGGACCCTGCTTAGAGGTTTGGTTCGTGCTGCTGTTTCCCAGCTCTTGCCAACAGGTGTCTGTGCATCCATGGGGGCTGTTTGTCCCAGGGTAGAACATGAGGCAGGGACATTGGTCGCAGGGAGAAAGATTTTTGTCAAGTGACAAAAATATTCTCATTTGCTGAGGGTTTTTTAAAAAGAAACGAAGTCAGCTCTGGCAACAGCCAGGCTTGGCTGACTGTAGTGTCATTAGCTAACCTGCATCAGTGCTGTAAGTTCACTTCAGAGTCATTAATCAACGTGCACAAGAAATAAACTCCACTCAAGCAGATTCACACTTGAGTGACCCTCCACTAGCATCACACCCCAAGCCCTTGTAATGCCTGTGTAAACAGTAATCGTAGCCTGACGAAAAAGCTTTTTGTCAGTATTATGTAGTCTATATTTGCACACACAAATATTTTAGTAATTCCCATTTTGAACTACAAATGGGATTCCTGAAGTGGTACCTTCCTCGGGGAGGAGCACTGCTTTGGAGCTCCAACTTGCTCTCCTCTCTGCGCATTTAGATGGATGTGACTTGGTCTCGGTGCCAACACCAAGCACAGAGCAGTGTCAGCATCCGCTAACATAGGCATGTTATGGAGAAGAATATGGGAAAGCAATAGCAAAAGCACACTGAATCTGCTTCTTGCACGGCTTTTTGGTTTCACATGGCAACGTGACCCTGCACATTTGCACCCGCCATTCTGTTAATGAACTAGTTCTTGCATTTCTTTCTTCCTAAATAAATACTTCCAACATCCACCCCTTCTGGCTGTTGTGGCTCATTTACTGACCTTGGATCCGTAGAGGTAATACGGCTGAACATTGGCTGGCTTGTCCCGCTGGGGTTCCTGTGTGAATGGGATTGCTGTCCTCACAAACCTGTGGTGGGCACGGGAGATGGGGAGGAAAGCGGTCAGAGCCCTGTTAACTGTGTTGAGTACAGATATGGCACAGTCTGGGATGAACTGCAGTTGCAGACTAATTAGCAATTCATCACCTGAGCTACGTGAACGAATACAAACTCCTGCCCCAATCTATTGATGGTGTAAAACGTTAGTTTAACCTACCAAAGGTGAGGTTTCTTATTTGGGGCAGGCAAGAAACCCATATATGAGCAGCTACCACAGCTCTGCTGCTCAGTAAACCAATCCTCTAAAGCAAACTAGCTCAGCTGCTTGCAATCACTGTCCAACTTTGTTCCTTGTATTTGTTACTAACCAGAAGGCCAATCGTATCCTGGGCTGCATCCAAAGCAGCGTGGCCAGCAGGTCGAGGGAGGGGATTCTGCCCCTCTACTCTGCTCTGGTGAGACCCCACCTGGAGCACTGCGTCCAGCTCTGGAGCCCTCAGCATAAGAAAGACACGGACCTGTTGGAGTGGGTCCAGAAGAGGGCCATGAAAATGATCAGGGGGATGGAACACCTCTCCTGTGAAGAAAGGCTGAGGGAGTTGGGGTTGTTCAGCCTAGAGAAGAGAAGGCTTTGGGGAGACCTTGTTGCAGCCTATCAGTACTTAAAGGGGGCTGATAAAAAAGATGGCGGCAAACTTTTTAGCAGGGCCTGTTGCAACAGGACAAGGGGGAATGGCTTTAAACTAAAGGGGGGGTAGATTGAGACTAGATATAAGGAAGAAATTTTTTACACTGAGGGTGGTGAAACACTGGCCCAGGTTGCCCAGAGAGGTGGTGGATGCCCCATCCCTGGAAACATTCCAGGTCAGGTTGGATGGGGCTCTGAGCAACCTGATCTAGTTGAAGATGTCCTTGCCCACGGCAGGGGGGTTGGACTAGATGACCTTTAAAGGTCCCTTCCAACCCAAACTATTCTATGATTCTATTCTGTGATTTTCAAGGCCAAGGGGAGCTGGTGGGCTTTAACTTCATTTTAAGTGTAACTGTTGCATCCCATAGGGAATGCAAACCTCACCACAATGCATGTGAATTTTATGTGGCAGGTTTGACATTTCAGAAAGAAAAGCAGGATCTCCAGGTGCCCCCTACCTTGCTTTTCCTCCTCACCTGTTGGTGGATCCATTGTAACAGTAGTTGGGTAGAAAGTCAAAGTTGAGTTCCCAGAAGACGTGGAGGGTGATGCGCCCATAGGGTGCGGAGACATTGTGGTTGGCCTCCCGGAACATGGCATCAAAGCTGTCCAAAGTCATATGCTTGCACAGCAACCTGTGAGTCAGGCGATTTATTTCCAAGAGCCACTCCAGCTCCTGCATCACATAAAGCAGCAGCAGATGCAACATGTTACCAAGATGACAATAGAAAAAGCTGATTTATTTGCCAAGGGAATGATTTTATATCCACACCCACACAGAACTTTCCAGGTGAGGATGTAGCAAATGCTAAAGACATCAATTTAACTCAGTGGCTGAGGCCAACTGCACTTCCACGCAAGGGGGTCCTGGTCCAGTATCTTGTAAACCTGCAGGAAGCAAAATTGATTTGTTCCCCACCAAGCACTGGCTGGCTTTCACATCAGTATCCTCCAAAGGTGGAAACTGGTAATTTTACACTACTGGACTCTGATGCTCCTATAACATATCAAAGACAGCAAATCCTGTACATACGCAAATGATGTCTCAGTCACCTTCATCCAACAGGGGGAGTTAAAGTCAAGATTTCCTTCGCACAGGTTACAGCACTCTCTTACGTGAGCTCTGCAAAATCTAACTGCTGACTGTCACCTTATGATTTATGCAGATACGTAATGGTCCAATAATAATGCAATTAAAGCTGCATAAATAGAAATAGTAGAGACTCAGCAGCATAAAGGAGAATACATGGCTGGCTGAAACCTACTGTAAGCAGGACATGAAGCAGAAGACAGTTGACTGTGTATCCATAGCAGTGTATTATTCTCTCTATTCATACGCTCAGTCAATAACAGTTCTTACCACTATGGATGTCAGGTCCTCACTCTCAAAGCGGCTAATGGCCTGGTCTAATGATTTGTACATCGCTGCTGAGATACGCTGGGTAATGAGCCTGTTCAGGTCAATTGATCTACCCAGCAACTGGAAAAAGAAGGGAAGATATTTGCATGTTATATACAGATGGGGAAAAGGTACTTTGTTTTTTTTTAACAGACACAAATTAAAACCAAACATCCAAATCTGCTTAAATGTGAAAGTGGTGAATGCAAACGCCTCAGTTGAGTTTACCATTACTTAAGAGGGAAGGAGGGAAATGTGGAGTGTAATTCATTTTCCCCTTGGGCCCCATGCATGAGTGGGGTGTGTCAGAAACAGGTTCAACCCTTCTCATTCCAGCACCAACCTCAGTTGAGCCCAGCACTAGGATGCAACCCACCAACAAAAGGATAATAGACAAGAGCTACAAGTACTGGAGTCTACTGCTTGTGCTGTACCTGGACATGCCTCTGCTTGAGCAGTGTTTCGTAGCGGTTGGATGGTGGGTATGGAATAATCACCCCGTAATTCTTACATTCAGCCCGGAAACGTTTGTCCAATAAAACACTGAAAAAAGGAAGCAGTGTCAGGAAAAAAGAAACATACACTATCAGCTTCTCTCTGGATCTTTTCCAGAGTTGTTTTCATCCTTCTTTTCATCTTGCTTTGAATGCCAAGAAATTTCCACACACTAACAACTCTGCTTTACCACTAAATCACAGAGCAGCAGTTGTTATCTGGGGACTACCATGCTGTTGTCCACCATTCTTGGCTTTTATGGCTAAAACATTGAAAAAGATAAAAGATTGTGCTGAAAGATATCACTAGTGCCAGGTACTGGTGTGCTCCCTGCTTGAAGATCTGCTGTGGGAACATTTGATTGGTGATGGTGATTGCTCGCCTTCTCTAAGGCCAAATGGGATCTAGAGACAAAACTCCTTGCAGAGTTACACTGAAGACTTAGTTCACCTTTGGGGACGTGAGAGGAGGACTCTCAGTAGAGTTCATCCATGTTCTTTAAATGGTTAGAAGGAAATGTCACAAATGGCCTATCTCCCCACAAAGGAGCAAGTGACTCTGCAGGAGTCCTACAGTCAGCTGGTTTGATGTGTGACCTGTGATACTGAGTACCCTCCTGGCCTTTACAAGTCCTGCTGCTTTACTAGGGTGAGGGCAAGTGCATGTTCCTGTTTCTTAGAGATGGGTGACATCCACTCCTCATCTGCCTGGTACACAAACAAAAGTCAAGCAAGGACATGTCTTCAATAGGCTCGGTTTGCTTTTCTGCTGCTCTCACAAATTGTACTCAGACAGCTACTTAGGATGCCAATTATTATTTTTTCCACTTTTAACCAGGTCTCCTTACCACCATTAATTTATTTTCCCCATCCACACTGGTCTGACATGGACAGACAGCTCTGTGGGACAGGGATGATCTATTTTGTTATGTCTACCCATGGTGGCTACTCCCTGAGGGGAACTTTTTGGTTACGAGCAATTTGGATGCAGCAATATCATCACTCAGCAGCAGCGGACAGGTTCTCCTACCTGCCAGCCATTGCTTTATAATAGGCAAAGATCTGATCTGCCAGCTTGTACACAAATTGATCAAAGCACAAATTCACCTGGGGGAGAAAAAAACAAGACATTGTGAGGGTGTCACCAACACAGGGCAGCTCCTTCCTACGCATGCAACATCAATACAACTCAATACAGAGCTCTTCTTTAATACATACATATATGCCACACTATCTAAAAACTGCACTGCAGTCCTAACATGCTAAAAGTAAGCAGAAAATTGCAGATACATTTCTCTCTTATAGTTTCTGCATGTTCTTACAGGTCCTGGTCCCCCATCCCCAATCACCCTTTTGTCTCAGGGATCTCCGTTTCTCATTTTCCTCTGATGTCTCCTAACCCTCTGCCCATCAGACAGCCTCTTCCATGCCCCCACTGTTTGACAGCCTTTGGCTTCCACTGTTCCCCATGGGTACAGCTGAGCTGAAGCCCTTAATCAGCAGTTTGTAAACTCTCTGGAGATTT